CCTTCACACAGGAGAAATGTTGCTTTCTGAGTGTTTCCACCCCTCCTATCCGTGATTTTGGGCTCCCACTGTGCTTTCCAGCATTCCTTCCAGGAGCCCAGAGACACTGGGAGGCACAACAGGGAATTTGCTGCCTGAAAATTCCCTAATTCTGTCCTGTGGGATTGGAATGTGGAAGGGGAAGGAGATCCCTCAGAGGGGCTGATGGACCTGCCTGAGCTCTTCAGAAACCTTCCCAGAGTCTGGATTTTACTCCTGATAGTGGAAAACTGGGGCAGCTGGTCATATCCCAACGTGATTCCCTGCATTTCCACACTGGAATATTCCTGTCCTGCCACTTAATCGTGTTGGCTTTAATAACAGCTGCATATAAATGTCCAACCTGATAAATTCATGGACATCTACAAGGCTGTGGGAGCTCAAGGAGAGCTTGGACAACGCTCTCAGGGACATGGTGGGATTCTGGGAATGTCCTGGGCAGGGCCAGGAATTGTTGGACTGGGTGATCCCGGTGGGTCCTTCCTACACAGGACATTCCATAATTCCATGATTTTATACATTTCCCTTGTTAGATAATTTAGAATATCTTTATATTTAATATATAATTACAGGTAATTACATACAATTATATTGCTATATATAATTATATAATATATATTTTATATGTTTATATATATAACATGGTTTTTATATTTGTATATTTCGATATTTTACATATATTTAGATTGAATATATAATTATATATAATTACATATAGTTATATATCGTTGCATAATATATATTTATATGTATTTATATATTTAAAATTTTTTTAAATGTATGTATTTGTATATTTCGATATTTTAGATATATTTAGATTTGACGTGGTCTCTTCAGCTGTGGCTTCTCAGGTGGCGACGCCGCGAGGGATTTCCCTTTTTTTTTTTTCTCCATCCCAGGGAAGCGATTCCAGAGCTTTTCCTGATCCTGCTGTGTTGGTCTCTGCAGGAGAAGGAAGGGAGGAGGGGGGAGCCCGGACCTGAGCCGAAGGGCAGCCGAGAGGAGAAGGAGAGCGGCGCGTGGATCCCACCAGCTCCGGAGGGACAAATCCCCGGCGGCAAGTATCTCCAGCCTGGAATTGCATCGGCTGGCTCCGTGTCGTGGGCTCCCAGGAATATCCGAGCTGCAAGTTTTCACTTAGGGAAGCGCTCCTGATTGTTAAATCATGGAATTATGGAATGTCCTGGAGTGGGAAGGACCCACTGGGATCATCCAGTCCGGCAACTCCTGGCCCTGCCCAGGACATTCCCAGAATCCCACCATGTCCCTGAGAGCGTTGTCCAAGCTCTCCTTGAGCTCCCACAGCCTTGTAGATGTCCATGAATTTATCAGGTTGGACATTTATATGCAGCTGTTATTAAAGCCAACACGATTAAGTGGCAGGACAGGAATATTCCGGTGTGGAAATGCAGGGAATCACGCTGGGATATGACCAGCTGCCCCAGTTTTCCACTATCAGGAGTAAAATCCAGACTCTGGGAAGGTTTCTGAAGAGCTCAGGCAGGTCCATCAGCCCCTCTGAGGGATCTCCTTCCCCTTCCACATTCCAATCCCACAGGACAGAATTAGGGAATTTTCAGGCAGCAAATTCCCTGTTGTGCCTCCCAGTGTCTCTGGGCTCCTGGAAGGAATGCTGGAAAGCACAGTGGGAGCCCAAAATCACGGATAGGAGGGGTGGAAACACTCAGAAAGCAACATTTCTCCTGTGTGAAGG